CTGCTAAGTTATTCCATTTTAGCAAACTTCTTTTGCTTCTGCAAAGTTTTTACAATTTCTGCAACTTTTCAGCTTTTTCAGCTACTTTTTGCATACAGCTTCAGCTTTAAGCATCCACACTGCATTTTCGCAGGAAATGCAAATTTTTCTAGTATTCTAGTTGCTTTCATATTTCTACATTGTATATAATTTTTTGTTCAAGATGAGTTCGCTAAAACCTTTTAACTATACTTTAATCAGATTAGTGACAGTTACTTTTCTCAAACAACACTCGATATATTGAAATGTGTATTTGAGTTTTCTAAGTACATTCTGTAGGGGTTCAGAAATATTTGTAACTTCTTCCTAATGTTAAAACCACTTTGAACTTTAAAAGGCTCTGTACAAAGGACACCAAATATTTGTGTGAATGGATATTTTTTTGGACACCAAATGCGCTTAGGTAGATAAGTTTAGTCATTTTCAGATCTGACCATTCAGACCACTGCAACACATTTGTTCGTAGCTCAAAACATGCAGTGGTACTAAATATTCAAAGATATGTAAATAGTAAAATAACAATATTTTATCTTGGAGACACAGCTAGTTGCTTCTTCAGGTCATTCGGCTCATTAAATGTTGCCCCAGTTTTGGCAACAAGAGCTCAAAGTGCCCAACTTACATCCTGATATATGTACAAAAACTGTCCTGATGCAACTTCAACTCCTGGATCAAACCATGCTCTCAGTTTCTTCCTTTTCTTATTCAAAAAACATAATGACCAACTCATCATCACTTGATTTTTTTTAACAGTATGAAAGTGATCGGTGTGTAAAGGCCTTAACTGTCCACCCATAAGATTTTACTAAAAATCGCACAGTCAAACTTGATGTGAAATTCATGAAGCATGTTCTCCTTCTGAAATTATTCCCCAAGCCTGCTTTGCTTGTTCTACCAGGTTTCCATGGTCTCCTACAAGATTTTATTTGTAAGTTCTCTGGGTGATTAGACTTCCTCCTACAGTCCAAAACATACATGTTAAGTTAACTCAGAGGTTCCCAAAGTGTGGGGCCCGCCCCCTACAGGGGGCGCACAGCCATTGCAGGGGGGGCACTGTATGGAAAAAAAAAATGCTTGGATACTGCTAGCATAATGGACAGGTTTTTGATGAGGCACCCACACAAACGCAAAAGAGGGAGTTGAAGCATCGGCAAATATGTTTCCAAACCAACTTCCTTCCAAGCCAAAGACTAGAAAATATAGTGAGGCATATCTTCTCTTTAGCTTCACCTGCACAAGTGCGAAGGTAGGTCTTCCCTGCAGAATTGGTTTTCCCTGCGCCGGGAGCAGCGCTGGGCTCTCCAAATCACGGACAAACTGTATCCCACATTCTTGATTTTTAGTTCACAAACACTTCTTGTGACGACTAACTACTCCTGACATTTTGGAGATGTTAGCTCTTTATACAGTAAAGTTAAAGTGGGATATAAATAATATCAGGCTGATCCTGCTGTAATTTGTTCCCCCGGTTCAAATCACGGACAAACAGCATCCCACAGTTGTTTATGTTTTTAAACCCATTTTGCACAGAGAAGCATTTTTTGAAAAATGTATTGCTAGCAATGTTGAATATTATTACGCAGGGGGAAAAAACAACTACACATAAAATAATTACACCGTGACGCCTCTGCCTTTCTAAATGGAGGGACAGTAACTGCGTGTGTGTATATGTAAGCGTGTAAAAATGGAAGATAGTAAGATTAACAGTAACAGTATTTTTTCCTCTATTTTCCATTGTAGAAATTAATCTCATGTAAACAATAACATGGCACACAACGTGGCACACAACGTGGCACACAACGTGGCACACAACGTGGCGTGAAAAAAGGCACATACCTTTGACGTTGCGTGACGAACTCTGTATTCCTCGTCCACACAGAAACGCAAAAACAGTTTAAAAAAAAATCTCAATTTTCGGTGATTCGAAACGCCGTTTACTTGTAGACACAAGGCCCAAACGCATAGAAATAGCTGCGTTTTCAAAAATACCCATGTAGGTGTGGACATACAGTGGCTTGCAAAAGTATTCGGCCCCCTTGAACTTTTCCACATTTTGTCACATTACAGCCACAAACATGAATCTATTTTATTGGAATTCCATGTGAAAGAACAATACAAAGTGGTGTACACGTGAGAAGTGGAACGAAAATCATACATGATTCCAAACATTTTTTACAAATAAATAACTGCAAAGTGGGGTGTGCGTAATTATTCAGCCCCCAGAGTCAATACTTTGTAGAACCACCTTTTGCTGCAATTACAGCTGCCAGTCTTTTAGGGTCTGTCTCTACCAGCTTTGCACATCTAGAGAGTGAAATCCTTGCCCATTCTTCTTTGCAAAACAGCTCCAGCTCAGTCAGATTAGATGGACAGCGTTTGTGAACAGCAGTTTTCAGATCTTGCCACAGATTCTCGATTGGATTTAGATCTGGACTTTGACTGGGCCATTCTAACACATGGATATGTTTTGTTTTAAACCGTCCCATCGTTGCCCTGGCTTTATGTTCAGGGTCGAGGTCCTGCTGGAAGGTGAACCTCCACCTCAATCTCAAATCTTTTGCAGACTCCAAGAGGTTTTCTTCCAAGATTGCCCTGTATTTGGCTCCATCCATTTTCCCATCAACTCTGACCAGCTTTCCTGTCCCTGCTGAAGAGAAGCACCCCCAGAGCATGATGCTGCCACCACCATATTTGACAGTGGGGATGGTGTGTTCAGAGTGATGTGTTAGTTTTCCGCCACACATAGCGTTTTGCATTTTGGCCAAAAAGTTCCATTTTGGTCTCATCTGACCAGGGCAGCTTCTTCCACATGTTTGCTGTGTCCCCCACATGGCTTGTGGCAAACTGCAAA